ATTGAACACTGCAACTTTTCAACCCTCAAATTTCACAGATGAAACTTGACCTTACCCAAGACAATCTGGGGATATCCGAGAACAAGGTGTCTGTTCGACTGCACAACTGTCGGTCGGACGAGCATGCCTTGTACAAAACAAAGGTTAGACTGATGAGTGGACAATCTGAGGGTTGAAAAGTTGCAGTGTTCAATACGATACATAGCTTAGAGAAACGTAGGCAAATGGATGGTACTCGGAAATGAGCTGTCAAGATGAGGTGGTATCATTTGAACGGTATATGCAAGAAATCGATCTGGAGACCGGTACGGATAAGTACCACATTTTTCAGCACTTCTGTTCCGTCGGTTCACTAAACTCCACCTGTGTGCTGCTGTGATTTGTCATTGACGTGTAGGTCGGTACATATCACACTAAGTACATACGTGTATTTCACTCTCGATACATAGATATATATACATATCAACTTCATGAGAACAAGTGCACTTTCGATTCACGCATCCATCGCAATATGTCGTTTATATTCAAGAATAATGACTTGACTAAACTGTTGAAGACCCGATGGTTTCAAATGCTTCCGTAAGGACAGAAAGCATTGTAAGAAGAATACAGGTGGAGTGACCACATGCATTAGCTCTTCTTGGAGTGGTAAGTTTGAAGTTCTTTTTGATCATTCCGTTGATGGCATCGACTGTTTAGCTATTCAATGTTCCCCTAGATTTTCGCGATATAGAAGCACAATCATTACCAATTTATACATAGCCCCCTATAGTACCCAGTCAAACATGTCATCCTTCTTCGATGCATTTATGTTATCTTTCGTTCCCCGGATAGACAGTTTCCACAATCTTGCTGGTGACTTTCATTACGCATCCAACTATCTTACAACCTCGTTTGGCCTAATATTCGCCTATCTCCCCCTCCTACAAAAAAAGGTGATTTATTTTTACACAAGGAAAATACCACTCATTAGGAACATTCTGCCTAAAACACATAGCACCTGTTTCCACTAGTGGTCACGTCTTGACCCACAGTGTACTCTGGTCCCATTCATAATACATTCACAAGAACCAATCAAGTCACTGTTCGCCTTCGCAATCTCTCCCCCAGAAACATTCATCTTATTAAGCGTCCCATTAGTGTCATTTCATTGTGGTTTTCTCCCTGTCCTTCCTTAAATAATGCAGTCAACTTATTCACGAAAACACTAAACAACATGCTTAACCTATGCTTCCCTTTTGAAACTCCACTTTTCTTTAGTGGCAGAATAGCATCTTCACTGCTGAAATCATTGAGAAGACACAAGCAACGATCCTACAAATCTAGAGAGTCAGCAACTATCAATTAACGTACCAACTTCATCAAAGCTAAAGTCAAACGCCTCTATGAGTTATACGCCTCTCAGCCTCTGCAATGTAACGACAGTAAGCAAATTTGGCCCGGTAACAAATTACGATGTGGGACCAAAGCCAAAACTCCGGATTGTACGAATTTGGACAGTGTTACAACAGCACTGATCCGACCATCAATCGATGCCATCGCACCACTAGTTCTTGATGATGACGTTCAAATTGAGGCCGTTTTGGAAGAAAAAACTTTCAAACTTTTGTGTATCATGAAACCCACATCTAGTGTTGGTCCCGATAGTCTTTCATATTCCCTCCTGAGGTATGGAGCCTATGCTCTCAGTGACAAATTAGGATAATTTTCAAACACTTCCGTAAAAGCGTGTTATTAGCTTGGCTTGCTGATTACTTCTCTCAGAGAACTCAATGTTTCAGATTAGGTCGGAGAAAGTCCAAACCATTGGTGAACAATTCTGGGGTATTCCAAGATGCAGTCATTCCCCATACTTATTTTTACGTATATTAGCGACTTGTCTGATAACATCCCTACTTCTCTCTTCAAATATGCCGACGTGGTTTTATATCAGGCTATCTCCGATTCTTTTGGTCTTTCACATTTCTGATAACTTGGGAAACGTTCAGCAATTTGCCGCCACATCCGGCCTCTCTCAATCCATACAAATGTTTTCAATGTCTCTTTACATTATCACACTCTTCTTTCCCATTTGAACTGGTATCGATCGGCTCTGAACCAATATCCCGGGAAAGCTGTATCAAATAAATGAATTTTTGTAAATCGACGCTTACCTTCATTCGACCTCTCACATCCAACATATCGTCAGTAAACTTCGACAGCTTTCATTCCATTTACGCAAACTTCGTCAGCTTCGTATTTAACAATCGATTATCTCCAAATTCGTGTAATGGTGATTTTCCCGTTTAACTTTATGGTTCACCTGTTGTTTTTCGCAATCTCTTAGGGAAAGATTTTAAACTGCTTCGACGTGGACTATTATTAGCCGCGTCTCTTTAATTCTGCTAGAGGAATTGGTAACAAACTGTGCGAAAATCATTTGAATGCATGTGAAAAGTTTTGCACATAAGATTATTATCGCCCCCACACATCCGCTACATACAGACTGTTATTCCCATCCATCAACTCGATCCCAATACTGTTGTGTTCCTTCTCGAAGATACTTATATCGTAAATTTACGGTACCCCCTTTAGAACGTATTCTAGTGAAAAAAGAACAGGTTTCCAGAGACTTTTTAAAAAGTTTTGGTATTTAACTCTTTCTCTCCTTCTCTCCAACTAGTAAACTTAACTGAAATGTAAGTTTTACGCTTGTGTAAGTTATAATTACAATCACAAAAAATGTTTGCAATGCGACAACAAGAATACTAATAAACCGAGGGAATTCGGGTACAAATAAGGGGAATGCAAAACAAAACAGAGACGAGAAAAAAACAAAAGAACAACACTGATGAGCTTTTCTTTGTTCAGCTTGAGTTTCGAGTTCTTGTCGCACTCATTGGATGCATAGATCAGAGCAATAATAACAGCGTTTTTTAACTGTGCAGACTGTTTCACACACACACACACACACACGCACACACACACACACATTACATTGTGACCTTATTCCAAGTTTTGCAAGGTTTATCCCTACTTTGCCATTGTAGTGCGTCTAGTCACCACGAACCGTGTTCCTTCAATGTATACGTCTAGTGAAGTACCAGAAAAATGTATGCATTTATGGTTAGCATGACCATAAAACTGACAAAACCCCACAACATGGGGAGTTCTGAGATGGGGGGGGACATAATACTCCCCAGTTTCTTAGATGAAGTCAAGGGGTTTTCATCCAAAGCCCTCAAATAAAAAGTTAAATGTGTCACACGTCAAAAAGTTGCTCGAAGTGTAAAATCCCCTTCGACACCCAATCAACCAGGTGACCATTTTCGAGACCAGTAAGTTGTGTGGCTTGTATGTCTTTTCTTGTATGCTTTGGAATTCGTTTTGATAACTCCCTTTGGTGAGCTACCGGTGATTTACCGATCCGACTATGTGCCTGAATGTTGGCTTTTCTTCCTCTTTAGCGGGGAAACATTCATGCCATTTGATAAGAAGAGCTTCCTTAGCAGACGCATAAGGATATGTTGACTTTGACTATCAAACACAAGACATATCAGCCAAGTGTTTCTCGCCGGTTTTCTTTACCTCATCTATGGCAAGTCGCATAGGCATCTATCAGTGAAACATCAGAGTACAGTAGTTCAAATTTACAGGTGACCTTGCGGTGGCAAAGAATACACAATCCTACGAAAGTCACTGAAACGTCATATTGAAATAATAAATGCATCAGTTTGATGTACACATTAGATACGTGTGAAATCTCCACTCTCTTACTGCGCCGCCGACACTTATTAAACCATCACGAACAACCAATTACGGTCAATACCGGATCAACGGATATGAGAATGAGGATAGTCAAGGACATCTAGTGTTCCTGCTACAGCAGCAGCACTTCACAGTCAGAAAGTGCGAAGCGCACACCGAACAGAGCTAACCGGTCCGTAAAGTTTGCATTAGGTGTGGTTAATTTCACGTGCATGTTGAACTTCAGTATCAGGAGACACCATTTAGAAGTGAAAAATTGTTCTTTCGTCAGTAATAACAATCGTATCACCACGAATAAACAAAATCCTCACTTGAAATTTAGTGCAAACACAGATCCACCTGTGTCCACCGCGACCGCCAATGAAGGCGCTGTCGTAAAGTTCACAAATGCTATTGCCTGACCTACACCATGTGCATCGTCCAGTACGCACAACAACTGGCCAGTGATTGTATCGGTTGTGGATTTTCTACCAATCAAACGCATCTTAGCTTCAGAAAAACGACGTGGCAGGGAACTTCGAGCAGGAGTCGCATTTAAAGTGGATGAACTAATTGAGGAAGACTGATTGGTCCGAGGAGATCCATTATCCGAGTGAGCACCTGTGAGCACATATTCTTGATCCACGGAGTCATTTACTTCGTGGGAGGTCAGTTTCCCCTGAAGCAGTCCCGCATCATTATTCCCTGGGGATGACGGTGCACCAGATAATCGCCAAACGGCAATACGACCACTCTGATAGCCAGATAACAGCTGAGTTCCGTCTACGTTTTGACTCAACGTGGTGACCGCACCTTGACCCGCAGTGGTCTGTGCGTCTGTGCCGGCTGTGGAGTCCAAAGTGCCGAAACAAAATCGTAGAACTTGTTGTAGATCTGTGAAAGTTAGAGAAGGGATAAAAGCTGTAGAGAGATTTTTAACCAGTGGTCTATGACTGCTTAATTATTGCGAGTCCAAGTGGTTTTGACCACAGAAGTGGGCTCCATTTAGCATGGGACAATTTTATAATGTTCTGTATCTCTCAGTGATTCGCTACCTCGGTTATTAAGGTCTGAAATGCACCTGGGCCTGGACAACGGAGACTAATTTCTATTCCTCCTACAGGACTAACCAGATTGGGCAGAACGACCGTCGTTTGCGACGCCTTCGATGAAAACGTCTCGCCAGGCCCCGTATGATTAGCACATCTTGTTAATGGGGCACAATCCGTTGCCGATTTTAGCAAACTTGTAAAGCAGCTTAGCAGTTCGCTGCAGAAAACGGTCGCATTTGCGTTCTCCGAGGGTGAGAAAAGCTTTTGAGACTTACCGCTATTATATCAATTTTGTGATGGTGTTCGCTCGGCGGCAGAACAAAATACGTTCGCAGTGAAACCGTCCGAATCTTTAAAGGAAGTAATCGGTTACGTCTACCTTCTGAAAAAGGCGTTAGAGGCCGTTGATCACATTCCCAGTCTAGAACGGAATGAAAATTAAAACAACCCGGGAGATTGGGTGGGCGCGGACATCCCAGTAGGGTCAATTGGGAAAGCAGTGAGGTAATCCGGGGGAGCACTATCAACCAAAAAGAGTCCTCAGAATGCGCATATTTACCGTTGGTATATCCCATGTTACCTGCGCCGCTGCCACGCATAATCTTTGGGATCATGTCTTAAGGCCGCAAACTGTTTGTAATACACAGGGAGGAATAGGATTCTGATAAACGCGAGCAAAAATTCGGGTTCCACTGACGTCGTTACAATATACTGCAAACGCAGCCTGTTAGGGCCACCGAGTCAAAGTCTGACAGGAGTAGCCAGTGTAAATGATGCTCAGTAGCACTGCTCTATCGGTAAATTTTTCGTATAAAAGGCTTTCTCCTAGTACTACACAAGATTGGAGGAATACAAGCAAACACGAACTAAAAGTACAGTGACACATGCATACAACTCACAAGCGACTCAATATTACCCATCTAGTGGAACTGACTATACTACAGGCTGTCACCAATTTAGTAACAAGGTTCCGGACTAGAACATTCAGGCTGTAACAGTGTTTGCATGGCCCACTGTTCTTTCGCTCTCTCTCTCTCTCTCTCCCTCAGAATGTCAGATATATCAGCAAGATAAACATAAAAGCACCAATATGCAAGATCATGCCCATGGGGCGAGAAAAATTGAGTAAAGAAGAACAAGAGCATGATGAATTACTTCCACATATGAGGGACTTACTGAATCCGAAAATGGCACCTTTGGTCGTCCCCACGATCAGATATTTTCTGAATGACTATTTCCACACAAATACAAAATAGTACACAGGAAATTAAGACGATGTGTATAGAAAATTTGCCGGAACTGAAAAGAGACCATAAATCAAAAGTACCAAAGATATGCATCAGTTTAGTGAAGTGTTATTGCTCTTGTGTTTCGCTCTTATGCGCCATCGATTTAATCACAGCTTTCATTGTGTTAAAAGGTAGAAGGGAAAATCTACTCTCGAAGCTCCTATTGAATTATAAAAACCGACAAGCCAGGCCCTGGGATTGAGGAGTGTTGCAGCATCTGAGTCCTCCAATGATTAGATTTTTAAATGATTCAGACGATAAGGAAAATGTCCAAGATGATTTGAATATGTCAAGGTTGAAGCATTAGATAGATGTCTTTACATTAGTCGTTTCTCAAGAAGAACGTTCAATTAGCAATGGTGACGGAGTTGACTATACTCTCGTTTGGTTGAGGAAGATCTCCAATTGCTTACGAGCGAACCTGAGCTCATGCTGATTGGCAAAAAGCAGACAGGTGTGAAAATGAAAATATGAAAAACCTTGATCGATATTACTTTGAATGGGTGAATGGAAATCATGATCTGTGTACTACGGACGTTTGTGGGCAGAGTAAACGTTGAATGTATGCTTCGTTTTATGGATCATATCTCAACTATTCGAATAATTTTCGGTGCTTTTCTATATTGTTTGGGCGATAGTGTATCCATGTTCACGCTTCGCACTTTTAAAATGTAAAATTGTGCTACATTGTTGTGTTAGTTTAGTCCCTAACCTCATCCCAAACGTGGAAGGAACAGAAAAAATCAGTCGAATTTTGCTACTCTGGTAACCATGTCTCGCACAGCGGACGCATCACGGATGAATTGATAGTACACACACTGAAGACTCGGATGGCACTTCTTAGATTTAGATATCTATGGCGCCGTCAAGACATCCGACTGCTTGTAAAGGATCGAATGTATAATGCGGCCGTTCGGTCGGTGCTACTGTGTTGCAGAAAAATGAATAAAGGAGCAATATTAAAAACACTCCTGCTGACCAGGCAACCGGATGAGCAATTCCGATGGGGGGCCAAAGTTTTGGTCAACAGCGATTGTCCACTGGAACAAAAGCTCGACTTCATTTAATTACGTCAGTTGGGGTGGGTGGGTGAATGAAGGCCAACGATGATCGAACAAGATATTCCATGAAAACCATTACTGGGCGATGGGATATAATGGTCGGGTTAGGTCTGGGATCAGTGTAATTGACGATTAAAGACACTGGGTGACAACTGAATATAGCAAATATATATATATATATATATATATAATGGTAAACAGTGACATTTCCGCATCTCCTCAATTCGTTCGCACGTTTACATTCCCGCATTTTGTACTTTTACTCTGGTACTTCTTCCCTCTACTCCAAAAGACGACAACCAAAACGACACACGAATAATGGTTGTGAACTGTTCATAGATTTCAGCTGCAAACAACTCTCGTAAATTCATTAAACCATTGTAACGAGGATCTTGAAAACTGATCATATCCGCATTCGTGAATAACATTCAAGAAATCAATTCTGTAAGAACAGTCTTATCAACGGAAATACTTAGCATGCAAGCGCGTTCTTTATGGATGATCGTACCAATTCAAGCAGCTGGTAATCGGTGCACAAGGAAAAGTAGTAAAATCGGCTTGTTATCGCTTGGGTAACCTCTTGATGAAATAGTCCACAATGTGCACAAGGATGAAAAGAAAGTCCTTAAAAACTGCTTTTTCTTTTACATATGATGGAAATCTTTGTGATAACCGACAAAGAGCACTGGAGAGCTATTTCGTTCTGTTTGGGACTCGTCAGCAGTGCGTACTTTTTGTGTCCCCGTCAGGACTCGAACCAAGGAGTGAAACCCACACCCAAGAGTGCCTGGTGCCTCTGAATAATCGAATGGGCTAATTCAATCCTGCTACTGTAAAATTGCTTTTTCTTTTGTCTGTTCTTCATTCGAGATTTCCTTCTACTGACAACGTAAACAATATAATTAATGGATCCAACGATCATGAGAACCAGTTGTCATGACAAGGTATCCATAAGCTTGAAGGAGAGATACATGTGATGTCACGATAAGATGGGCATGACTTTATACCGGGTAAATGAATAGCTATGTATTAACAAAATCAGAAACCCCTATGAATTCGAGTGTTGATTACATAAATTCAAATTATTTGCCCACTGCTCGAAATGCAACCTTAAACAGAGAAGTAGAGCACGTGAATTGATGGAACCTATGGGAAGCAAACAACCCGTTACGGGTGGCCAATTTAAACACGTTGAACATTGTGAACTGTTCTAAAATAGTGAGGCTGGATAGTCCCCGAAACACATTTGGTCATTAAAGAGCTGAAGTAGCGTAACAAACGCTGNCTAAACCATATTCGTTCAAGAACAAGTGCAAACAAATCGAGAAAAAGGCAAAATATTTTTAAAACCATTGGACAAAATCGGATTTTCAAGACATTATCGTAAAATTTCGCTCATTGTGACAATCTTTCAAAAACAAATACTGACTGATCAAGGCAGAAGCAAAATGTGCACAGCATGCAATTGCACTTGCCAAACATGAAGGAGATCCTATGTCCACTTTGGAGGATGCACTTTTCAGCTGATTAGAAACCCCCGATAGAATCGCCTTTCGAACGAATGTCGACGGTTTTAGATTAGAGTCTCCGAGCCCAAGGCGGGGGCGACCTTCCGTTAAAGCATTCGAACAAGAAAACGCTTCCGAACTAGTAATTGAGAAGTGATCAATATCAAATCCATGCACATTTTCCACTAGTAACTCGGCTTGTTGTAAATCCGCTTCCAAATCCGAGTCCAGGCGATCTTCAGACGTAACAGAACCAGCCAAGCTCGCAAGGTCCGGAGAACTTAAAGCGGTTTGGCTGATCTTTTTACTGCTCATCGAGTAAAACAGTAAAACAGCGGAAAAATCAAACGCCTCACATTCGAGATCCAATGAAGAACCACCGAAACCTGAAAAACAGTAACGCATGTAGATCAATAAAAATAAATCTGAATCAGATTACACAACGAAGCTTGCGATATCCAGAAATATTAGATGGATTGACGATTTTTCTACTTTGAGGTTCACTTATGTCAAAATCGCTCTATGGTTTTCGAACAATAAATAAGTTCTGTAAAACTTAACCTCGGCAATGACTATTACATCATCTTATAGCAAAACACAGTGAAACGAACTTCCCTGGCCGCTGCCAAGCTAACAGGGTTTCAGTTTCAGTTTGCACAACCATTAATCATGCACTATCGTGAGCCGGTTTTGGTTGCTATCTTTCGGCTGCCCATTTGAATGGACGTTAAGAGAAAGACAGGAAAGGTTGAAAGAAAGATCGAAGAGAAGATTGAAAAGTTCAGT